AAGCCTTTATCGAAGCCAAGAAGCTTAGCACACTGAAGGAGAAGCTTGATGGAGTTGCCGATGAAGATTGGAACAAGTTCTTTACAGAGGAGCTGGCAGAAGACGTCGTGCCGCAAATCTGGGACGACAAGACCAGCCCAACAGACCAGTCACTACTATCTTTGCTGCTCGTCAAGTTGTTCCGCATGGATCGATTTGTACCTGCAGCCGAACGCTTTGTCGGCCGTGTGTTTGGCAGCGAAATCTTTGACTTTGTCGAGGATCTCAAGGAGACAGTTGCTCAAGTATCTGCTACTCTTCCAATTGCGTTGGTATCTAGCCCTGGTTTCGATGCTAGTTACAAGGTGGACAACCTGGTGGAGAGAATGAACGTCAAATGCACCAATATTGCCATGGGATCGAACGAAGGTCTCGCCAGTGCCGACAAGGCGATTAGCAATGCTGCTCAGAACGGATCTTGGGTTCTGGTCAAGAACGTTCATTTGGCGCCTACCTGGCTTCAGAGTCTTGAGAAGCGTATGGAGGCACTCAACCCTCAAAAGGACTTTAGACTGTTCTTGTCAATGGAGTCCAGTCCCAAGATTCCAGTCAACCTTTTGCGTGCTTCCCGGGTGTTGATGTACGAGCAACCTGCTGGTGTAAGGGCCAATATGAAGGACTCCATGTCTTCACTGTCGACCCGATCAACCAAGAGCCCCGTTGAGAGAACAAGGTTGTACCTACTCATCTCGTTCCTGCATGCCGTCGCTCAAGAGCGGTTGCGGTACGCACCAGATCTTGGTTGGAAGGGTTTCTGGGAGTTCAATGACAGCGATGTAAGTAAACTTGACGCCCGTATTTCTTTGAAATCACTTTGCTGACCCGGGTAACAAATAGTATGAATGCTCGGCATTTATTGTCGACACCTGGCTGGACAGCGTGGCTGGCAACCGGACCAATATTGCCCCTCAAAATATCCCATGGGAGATGATTCGTTACTTGGTTACCGAGACGTATGGTGGCAAGATTGACGATGAAGGGGACTTCAAGTTGCTCGGCCAGCTGGTCACGTCACTCCTTACGCCTGACGCGTACGATGTTGATCACAAGCTGGTGGATGGCCCTGACGGCGGGCTGCTTGTGCCTTCCGGGACGAGCCTGCAAGACTTCATGGCCTGGGTGCACAAGCTTCCTGAACGTGAACCGCCTACTTACCTGGGCCTGCCTGCCAATGCAGAGAAGTTGTTGCTCGTTGGTCTCGGCCGCAGCTTGATCTCGGATTTGCGCAGAGTGACGGAACTGCTCGATCAAGGAGAGCAACTAGTGACGGACTCTTAAGGGGGGCAAGGATAGAATGCGGGGCAAAACTATGACTAGAGGGTGGTTGAATATTGGGACTTTTACTACGTGCTGCTCAGGCATGATCGTTTTTGTATTTCATTTCCTTTGTTTTATAATTGTGTGCTCTTGGTTTTTCGGCACGGTATGGGGCCGCGGCGCATGGCAGGCTTTTGTTGTAAGGTGTAGAGGAGGCTATATACACTGATACCCTATGATGAAATTGTTTTATTGGTTTGAGTCATGATTGTTTTATAATAGTACGAGTCTCGTGTCCACATTGGCCTGCTCTGTTGGGTGCCAATGAGATGATGAATGGGTGGTTAGATGAATTCACAGAGTAGTAGTAGAGGGGGAATTAATGGTACAAAAAAACAATAGACATTTTTACAGTTTTGGTCATGGGCATGCCGGTTCGCATGGCAGCATGGGTAAGGGGTCTCGAGTTGCTGCAGGGGAAGGGGATGTGGTGGTTGCGTTTGTCGAGAATTGGTATGCTTGAGGGCTTCTTGAAGGGAGGGCAGGTGAGACATGGACCGGGGCCGCTGCAAGCAGGTTTCCGTGGTTGTTTGAGGATGAACATACGATTCATCTGGTGATGATGATGAAGATTATGGTACTACTCGCTGGCCTGGCCAAATTGGCAACGGTTTCACCCACGCGAAGAAAATATCAGAGGAGGGACGGGGTTCATTGCTACGTTGACCTCTTGTCTGTGAAAACAAAGCCAGGTAGGAAAAGTTGCCTGGGGGATGGATGGATGGCAGCTGGGGGTTCCACGGCCTAAATCAATGCTTGAAAGGGATGGAGCTGTCAAGGTTTTTCCACGCCGTCAAACTGAGTTCAATGTTGGAGACTGTTGCGAGCAAGTACCGAGGTGGGGAGGGTGAGGTGCCCGGGTGCCGCGTGCAACGTACCCCGCGTATATGGAGAGCCAGCTGGGCAAGGCACGCAGCCAAGCAGTGTGTACAAGAGTGGTCGACAAAAAGTGGTGACGTATTGCGGATTGCCTCGACAACATGGAGGGTGCAGCGTGTCTTTTCCTGGGCCGAGGAAATTGGATTTTGCTTTGATGCTGATGCAGCCGGGCGTGAATCGTGCTTGATGATGAGCTGCCGAGGTGTTTTCTCGATTTTGTCATATCGGAGAAAATGGAAGACGCGTCCTCGTTGGAGTCTCAGTTAGTCGTTGTCGACGACGGGTGAGACGTGCATTTTGTCTCCTTCTCATAGCCAACAGACTCGCAGAGCGCTCAGGCCCGCTCGCCACCGCGTAAGCCTTGTTTTGGCCGTCGCCCGTCGATGGTTCGCCGTTGGAGAAGATGGTACTACTACGACCATGGCCATGACAGCATGGCACCATGAACAGGATGGTGTGTGGCGCCGCCGTGCTTGCTGGTTTGACGGACTGCATGGTCAGCTGGCCACCTGGGCAGCCTGGTACTGCGCAGAGGTCAAGGACCTAGGTACCCGGGTACTTGTGCATGCCCTGCAGGTCCTCGTGCCAAAGGCACACGGATAAGTAATGTGTACTTTGGTAGGCTTGTCCATGGAGCCGTCCAGATGCAGAAGCCAGAAATGCTGCCTTCCCCCCCCTTCTGGTCTTCCGGCACCTCGGTGTCACCCCAATCACTGGCGTCATTGATGAATCTGCCGATGCTGCTGCTTGTTTTAAAATAAAAAAGGGCAAAAAAAAAAAAAAAAAAAAAAAAAAAAAAGATACTTTGCTACAAGAGTCAACTTTGTAACCCCGCTTCGCCTTGAATAAATACAAGCTTTGCTGCCCGCCCTGGCCTATTCCTCCTGTGCTTGCTTGCTCCCACCATTCATTCTTGGCATATTCTCCTCTTCCCCGCGAGGATCGTAAATGACGAGAGCTGAAATCCGGCCGCTGTTCTGATTGGCACCATACACATACCAAAAGTCTTGATTTTATTCGTTTATTTTAAGAGGGGAGAAGGATTAAAGAATTTTTGAGACTTCTTCTTCACAATGGCGAACTGGAATGCTTGTGAGTTGATGGGACAGCATCGCTCGAGATGACATGAACATCATCAACTTCGCACGCAATACTGACACGGTCAGGGAACCCCTTTAGCCGCCGCGAGACTCACAGCTCCGGCTCCATCCTCACCTACAAGCTTCTCACCCTCCTCACCTGGCTGCTGTCCGTCATCGTGACCGTCTACTACGCCGTCAACGAGCCCAAGGATGGCTACAACATCCGCCGCCGCATCTGGGACCAGAACAACTTGATCCGCACCGCCTTCACCATGAACCCCGTCCTCGGCGACATCTTCTGGTTTGTGCCTCCCATTGTGTTTCCTTCTCCCCGTCTCTAACACGCCGTCAGGATCGTCCTCTTTATCCTCCAGTTTGGCTACATCACGCACCTCTTCTCGCGCACCCCCGAAACCGTCAACTACGCCGCCAGCGTCGGCAGCCATTTCATCGTCAACAACCTCTTCCACTTTGCCTTTATCATGCTCTTTGTCCGCTCGCACTTCATCTGGGCCGAGGTCATGCTCGTCATCAACTTCTTCAACCTGTCGACCTTGTACTTCCGCCACAACACGTCGCCGCGCTTCATCCACGCCCCCGTCGCCTCGGGGCCCCTGGCCTGGACCTTTGTCGCCCTCTTTTGGAACGGCGCCATGATGGTCTACCACCCGCGCAATCTGGTCGCCAGGGTCTTTGGCAACATCTTCATCTGGGCCATCCTGGGCTACGGCGGCTTCTTTATTGTTGCCTTCAAGGTGCGTCTTTTCATCACTCCTCACCTCTTCCCCCTTCCCCTCTTCTGTTTTGCTCGCCCTTTTTGTGACGAACAGCCGGGGAGAACGAACAACCTGACATCTGTAAAACACTGCAGGACTATACCATGGGATTTTGGCTCAGTCTCCTGACTGCCGCCATTGGAGTCGCTCAATTCGAGCGCCAGATCATTTCCCTCCAGTGGATCTTTGCTTTTGTCATCATGGCCATCCTGTTCCTCGCTACAGTGACGGTTGCTGTGCCAGCTTGGACAGGCAGAGACTATCTGTGGCGTCGCGAGGCACAGCCTGCCCGTGATGCTGAACGGGCTCCTCTGCTCCATGAGTAACATTGGTCTGCGGAAAATACGGGCAAACAGCCGACGGCGGACTATACCGTCCAACGAAATTGTGGACAGCTTGCTTTACCTTTTTTTTTTCTCGCCATCATTTTTATTGAATTTCACTTTTCTTTGGACCTTCCTCAGAATGTTTAGTCTACCACGGTGCTTTGGGTTTTTACTGATTTGGTAATGTGTGTACGTGTCTACGAGGGTCGGGGCAATTCGTTCACGTCTTTTACATGCTGGTGTGATAATATGTGGTACAAATGAAAATAATATGAGGCGTTTAGGCAAAAGAGCTTGACGCGATGGGGTTACATATGTCAAGCCGAGACCTTAATAGTGAAATGCGTATGAGTTGCATCATGATGAGACTTGGGATAATGGGGGAGCATTTCCTCCGTGAGATATGACTGACGGCATGTTGCAGCTGGTGGCTCCCAATGACGTAATTTGTATCTTTTGCGTCGCCCACGGCCGCGTACTTATCGATAAGGCCGAGCACCACTCAAAACTTGTGCACGCAACAACGCGGCCCGCTCGACGATGCAATTCACCATGATGCAAATGACCCATGCCGGGCACCCATGGCCCCCCCAATCCGTCCCTTCCCCTTTCCCATTCACATCGGCACCGACATATGCCAAATCTCACGCATATACAGCATCCTATGCGGCCCGCGCCGCACGCGCTTCATCAACCGCGTCCTTGCCCCCGAGGAGGTTGCCCGCCATGACGCGCGGCTGAACTGGTCGGCGGCCTGTCCGAAAGGGGACACCTGCCACGCAGACGGCGGCATCAGAGGCACGGACCTGTGGAAGACGGCTGCGTTTGTGGCAGGACGGTACGTTTGGGGCATTGTGCCCGCTTTCCCGCTGAGGACGAGAAGGGGGGACTGATGGCGGTTTCTAGGTTTGCCGCCAAGGAGGCCGCCATCAAGGCGCATTGGCGCCGGAGACTCACCTTCCACGATGTCATAATCGAGCGGAGGGCCGGCGGGCGGGGGGACACGCTGGGGAGCGGACCGCCCGTGGCGAGGATCAGGGCCGGCGCGGGAGACGCGGAGGATGCCTGTGCTTTGGTGTCGATTAGCCACGATGGGGATTACGCGACGGCCGTTTGCGTCGCGCACGACGGGACGGCTTGAGGATGCCTGGCGCTTGGGAGGGGAGGTTGTGAGACATGTCGGAGGGGACGCAGGGCATGCTGACTTTGGGGCTGGAAGCAGGATGTATCCTGTGAATATAAAAAAAGGGTAAAGCTAGAGGGAGTGGAACTTGTTGGCGTTGAGTTGTCAACTAATATATCAACAAATGAGTAGGACTATGCGACGATGCATGTATATATATATCACTCTGGGATGAGATGAAACCAACAGACGGTGTCTATTTTTACCTGCTAATTCTTTGGTGGTTTTTTGAATCGGTAACCTTGCTAGCGGCCAACGTATCTCCGTGCGTTCATGGTGTATTATCTGCGCTCCAAGTTGGAATTGTAGGTCGGTGGTGCGGAATAAGATGTTGACCGAGAAACGGCCTGGGGAGGCTATATTCTTCGTTTACCATCTCATGCCTCTCTGTTTTGGAATGTATTGTCCGATGACGTTGGCTTGTTGAATGCTTGTTCCGTCAAGTTTCAACACAGACAGCCCGATAGCATGTCAAAGGCCCTTTTCCATGACTGAACTCCCCGTTTCCGGTTCAGTACCTGACCTTGTTGCAATGGAAGATTGGTGCCAGAACCTCATGTACAGCTTTGCTGGGCTGCGTGAAGGGCCGAGCTGCAAATGGTAGCCCCTGACATGAGCCACTTTGACATGGGCGCTAGAATAGAATATTCTCAAGATATATGCTGTTCATTGTTAGGTATCCTGAATCGCTTGTCCTCTTAGTATCGACAAACGGCACCTGGCTGTTGCAACACACCGGCAGCCCGATGCAAGACGCCCGAATAAGCCCTCGCCGCATCTTGGCCACCACCGGCCAAACCTCCACCAAACACCCGCAATGAAGGTCATTGTAGCCGGCGCAACTGGCCTTGTAGGTCGTCATCTTCTGGAACAGTGTATATCATCATCCCAAATCACCCACATATACACGCTCTCCCGGAAGCAACTCCCCAATCAAATCGGCACAAGAGCCGAGGTCACAGCCATACGGCACGACGACTTCACGTCATATCCTGCGGGTCTGCTAGACCAGATTTCCGACGCGGAAGCGTGTCTGTGGTATGTCCCCCGCCAAAGCTCGTGCACCAGGTTCCCATCCCCTCCATCGATACTCGCGGGGGAGACTGACATTCATGCAGGGCCATTGGTGGCTTGGTGCAGAAATTCTCATCCGTGGAAGCTTGCAAACTCGCCAACGTCACTTCCACCCTCGCCGCGGCCACAGTGTTCGCAGACCATGTCGCGCCTCATTTGAAGCAAGGCCGCAAGTTTCGGTTTGTGTTTTGCAGCGGTATGATGACGGAGTGGGATCAGGATAAACGGCTGTCCTTCTTGAATGATTCGCGGCAGATAAAGGTTTCCCCCTTCCTCTTGCTTTTTCCTTCCTTTTTAAACACGTTCGACGTGACAAGTTGGCCGGTGGAAAGACAAATGCTGATTGATGTGTAGGGCCAAGCTGAAAGGGGTCTGTTTGAGATACAGGACGCTCACCCGGATCATTTTGAGGTATATTGTCCGCGACCAAGCGGGATACATGATACTGGTGCGGGCACGATTGAGCGCTTAGTTGGGAAGCTCTATTCGGGGATCGGCGTTGATGAGGTTGCGAGGGCCATGATCTCCATTGCGGTGAATGGATATGGCGAGAGGATTATTTCGAGTAATGCACTGAAGAGAATTAAGTGATCACTGGTGTGTTTGGGTAACTCGGTAGTTTCTGCAGTGCTACATGTTGAGAAAAGTCGGTTTGCTGTGTGTGAGTCTGCTGGTATGGTTAGCTACGGCATGTTGAGATATCAGTATTTGCAAATATAAGTACAAAATGATGAGGTGTTGGCCTCTTCCACTTAAAAGAGATGGCATCCTGCGACGTTGTCTCCTGTGCATGTATGTTCCCCTCTTTTTTGTGCCTGTGCTTGCATGTGGGTAAATTACCACTGTCGAGCGTTTAAGACGAAAGAAGTTTCGAGGACGTGGTCGTCTTTGCTTTTCTAAGGCGTGAGTCTCTCATGTTTGCACATTCTGCACATAGTTCGCTCATACAACGTTTTGCAACTCATTGAGCAACCACGACCTTCAGTGGCCAAGGTATTTGACTTGACAAAGGCGGTTGTTCATCACATATCATGCTACGAAATGGCAGCAGATACTAGGCATTTGCTTGCGCGATTGGCACATACACCGCATGCCGTTCACTCTTCTGGAGCCACACTGAGAACGCAGCGCTCTGTTTGTTGATATATCACCAAAAGTAGACCCGAAGTATCAAAAGCACCTTACGACGGGTCCTCAAAACGAGTCGGTTGGCAACTTCACAAAAGCCCCGTCGGCCAAACAGCCTTTTGAACGCCGACCTTCCCTTTAGGGCAAACATTGGCGCTCACCGGCGACTGGCACTGCCACCACTGCCACCGGGCCGTGACTAGGTTGTTTGAAAGCGGGCTGGTGAGTAAACCAAGTCCAGAGCCAGGTTTGTCCCTCTGATGAATCTCTGCCGAGTCTGATTGACGGTTAGCGTTGCAATCGCAGCTCTCGGGCGGAAAGAATAAACACACGACTGCAAAACTTACTAACCAAGTATTGAAACCATGTTCCTATGCTTTAAAACAAGGTATAAACATGATGGTAATTCGCTCGTCCTTAGCTCGACAAAGGTATCACAGTCCAACCGTGTTGGTTCCCCATGGGTACAGTACCAGGGTCAGGACCGTACCAGCATGGCCTTCCGTGTGTTCAAGATAACTCCACAGCTGGGATAGGAATAGTCAAGTATGTCGGTTTCTAAAGACAACCCGAGATCTCTGGTAGAGCCAATGCTAAATGCAGAGCGGAGAATCCATCCAAACGGAGCAGGGGAGAGTGTTCGGTGCCTAATATCGCGATAGACAGCGAAGCCCGTCTTGACCGACAACATAAGACATGGGTGCCATCTACTGGCAAATCATGACACAGTAATTGGATCATGTTGGTCGACTTGCAGGCAGTCTGGCCTATCATTCTGCACTCAGCCCGACAAAGGTTGCCAATCGAAATCGATGGAGCGTTAGGTCTGCCTTCCGAGGTCTTGATTTCCGATAGTCAGTTGTCTGCCATGGGCAGGTTTTCCAAGCAACTAGTGCAAGCGTCGTTTTGCACCTTGCCGGATGTCCTTGTGACAGAGACCAAGCCTGCATGCGTCGTTCGGGTTGTCATGACTCAATCGGAGTGCCAGACTGCTATTATGGTTCGCCCGAAATACTCCATACATTAGGTTGATGCCGTCTAAACCGGTGAGACGAGGCAGCAACCGCCCTGGTAAAAACGTTTGACAAGCCCTTTCGAGCAACTCGAGACGCCTCTGGAATTGTGCCAACTTTGAGGGTGCGGCTCATCCTTGAACTTATTTGCTTTCGTCTTTGTTACGGCATCTGTATCGTGTTCTCGTCGCTCATGTGGTCAATCAGAGGTCTCCCTTCAACCTTGATCAGCCATCAGCTTTCCCAGTCAACCGGTTCAGCCTGCCCTGGTTGCCACCATGTTTGTGTCACCACTTGTCGTGGAACCTTCAACTCCTCACATCTCCGCAAGCACGCGCAGTCTCATCCAAGGACTTGGTGGATCAACACCTTTGCCGACGACTGCTCGAGATCTCGGATTGGCGGCTCGATTGAGGCTCACGAACCTAGTCGCCCGCTACCACTTCTGGAAACAGGGCTGGAGACAAGCCCCAGGTGGGTTCCGGCAACCGCCATCACGCCGCCGGGCGACTTGGATGATCCTTGCGGGCTGCTGGGGGTGATGTTGGTTGCTTGTTGGCCCGAGGAAGTGACGGCCGAGACAAGTTGCAACGCACCTCAGCATTCAGAGCCCATCCTCCCGCTTGACTATTTGTCTGGTGGTTTCGCCGAGGACTCATCGCCCGTTTGCTCATCCTCGCGTCGGCCTCGGACCTTATTGTCGCAGCCATGAACGTGGTGATAGACAGGTTCCGCGACTATGAGTTCTCTCCTATGCGCAACCGCGTTGTGCTCGGTGATAACCACCAAAAGTTTCCGAGTCGGTACGGACCAATTTCAATATGCTCAAGCACTTTGTGTCTGCGCAACGCCAATCTATCTTCCAATTTAGCCAATTCAGTCGTTTGTCGCTGACAATTCGTAGCCTCGCGTCTGCCGCTTCTCAGGTACCTTGGATCGTTGAGGCCTCGAGCGCCGCTCGCTCTGGCATCCCGCAAGCCATTGTTCTCGCCACATCTTGTCTGTTCATCGTGCTGCACTTGATCAGACGACGCTCAAAACGTGGCCTCTCACACCATGCCGTAAAGTCCAGAGCGTCTGGTCTTCGATGGGGCTATGAGGTGTTGTCGCAGATGGCTCGAGCCGCGGCGCTCGCCTTCCTCGCCGTCGCGTTTTTCCAAGGGGACGCTCACGTGCTCAACGTGATTCTTGTCGCATACACCTTCGCCCTTGGATTGACTCGTCTAGTCACGAAGGCCCCGTGGCGTCAAGAAGCTCTCTACCACGTCAACCTGATTATTGTTGCTGAATTGGCCATCTTGATCACCGCCCAGCTCCTTCCCTGCATCGAAATCGACGTTGAGTGCACCGAGGATGCCAGCGTCATGGGAGCTACAGGCGCCCTTTCTTTTGGCCTGGCTGTTGCCATGTGTACGCCTCGTCAATGGATTCAACCTCAGCTCGCCTACGAGATCCCGGGTTTCCATGTGCCCGACGAGCCCGCCCTGGAGGAAGAGACCAGCTGGATCAACTACTACTGCACCTACCAGTGGTTGACTCCGACCATCTGGAAAGGCACCTGGGGCAAGCTCGACATGTCTGGTATTCCAAAATTGGCCTGGTATGACGAGCCTCTCTATCTTCTTCGCCAAGTTCAGCTGGCCAGAGCCGCCTCCAAGTCCACCTTGTGGACCACGCTACGCTTCCAGCGACAAGAATTAGCCCTCATGTCTATCTTGATTGGCCTTGCATATATTGTCGAAAACGTCTCTCCTTTTGGCATGTTCCAACTGCTTGCGTACCTTGACGATCCCAACTCTGCCGTGTATAGGCCGTGGGTGTGGTTACTGCTCACCTTCTTCGGCCCCATGAGTCGATCTATCCTGTTCCAGGGATATGTCTTCATTTCCACTAGACTCATTGTTCGTATCAAGTCTGCCATGACCCAAGAGCTGTACCAAAGAGCCTTGGAGTCTATGGAACTTGAAGATGATCCCTTTGCCGGCAAATTTGATGACGACAAAGAAAAGGAAAAAGAGAACAGCACCAAGGCGACCTCGGCTGGTCGATTGGCCAACCTCATGGCTGCAGATGTCGAGGCTATTTTCAAAGCACGAGATGTCATAATTATCCTGGTGGGTGTTCCTGCTGGAACCATCGTTTCTTTTATCGGTCTGTACCGAATGCTTGGCTGGGTGTCCATTGTCGGAGTCGTTATCCTCGTGCTCGCCACACCCATCTCCTTTCTTCTAGGCAAATGGATGTACCGCACACAAAAGAAGGTTCGGAAGGCTCAGGACTCGCGAATTTCTCTTGTAACGGAGTATTTGGCTTCCATCAAAGCCATCAAATACTTTGCCTGGGAGAAGCCGATCACGGAAAAGATTGTCGAATCCCGTGCATTTGAACAAAAGGCATTGTGGGGAGTATCTGTTCTGCAAGTTTTCATCAACCAGATCACACAGATCTTCCCTTATCTTTCATTGCTAGTCATGTTTGGCCTGCATGTCATAGTCGACAAGCAGCGGTTGACAGCTTCTACGGCCTTCACAACAGTGTATCTTGTTAAGAACATCCGTCGAAACATCATGATGGCCAGTTATTTTGCTCGAAGCTTTGCTGGTGCTATCGTTGCTTTTGGCCGACTCGACAAGTACTTTGCCAGCACTGTGCCACTGGTCCAATACCCGGAGGGTCCGCTCCGCATTGAGAAGGGATATTTCAGGAGGAATAAGAAGGCCATTTTCAGACTCGAAGATATTTCACTAGATTTTGTCCAAGGCGGCCTGAATGTCGTTACTGGCCAGAGTGGAAGCGGCAAATCCACCCTCATGCTTGCTATTTTGGGAGAGACATATCTAGAGAGCGGTTCCATCTCTGTCCCGGCCGACATTGCTTACGCTTCACAAACATCGTGGCTGCAAAATGAGACGATCAAAGACAATATTCTCTTCGGTAGCCCAATGGAAAAAGCTCGATATGACCGGGTCCTGACTGCATGTTGTCTTCCTGAAGATTTACGCGAGCTACCAGATGGGGATCGGACATCAGTTGGAGAGAACGGAACGTCCTTGTCTGGTGGACAAAAAGCACGGGTAGCTCTGGCCAGGGCTCTCTACTCCAAGGCCCCCTTATTGCTGCTTGACGACATCTTCGCAGCCCTCGACGCAAAGACTTCTGCTGGTGTCTGGAAACATTGCTTCTGTGGCGACTTGCTAAAGGGCCGCACTGTGGTTCTCGTTACGCAAGTTCCGTGGATCGCTGCTCAAGCCGATCTCTCCATCTTGCTCGAAAAGGGCCAGGTCAAGGCGGCTGAGCCCAACATCGGTGTCGTGCGCCGACCGATTAAGATTGCTGAGGTCCTCGGAGGCGATGCTGATGACAGCAGCGAAACTGAGGTGGAAACACCTCCTGAACCGGATCTGCAAGCTACATCAGACGCTTCGAATGACCCCAACAAGGTTGCCCAGGACGTCCCCGTCAAGGACATCGTCGACCAGGAAGCAAAGGCATCGGGAAAAGTTAACAGATGGACCGTGATTGGATATCTGGGATACTTTGGTCACCCATCTTTCGCTGTTGCCTGCATACTTGGCCTGTTTCTGGCCAACATTTTTTATTTCGGTGCCAATTTCTGGTTGTCCATTTGGGTTGAAGCATACGATAAGGGCGGGCCGGTAGATGTTGTGTATTACCTGGGTATCTTTGCCGCCTTCATTTTTCTCGAGATCATCGCCTTCGGCTGTATTGTCATCACGTTTGAATGGGGCGGCTGGCGTGCCGCAAGACGTCTACATAATGATTTTATTCGAAGCATCATGAGTGTTCCCCTGTCTTGGTTTAAGACCATCCCAGTGGGTCGCATCACCAACCGATTCTCTGGCGATATGGCATCAATTGATGGCAATCTTAGCGGCATGGTTCGTCAAATCATGGACATCTTCATGATGCTCTTCTTCCGACTGGGTGCTGTCAGCTCCATCATGCCCATTTTCATGGTTCCCGGGCTCATCACCTGCTTTATCGGTGTGTTGATTGGAGAAATGTACACGCGAACCGCCGTCGTCATTAAGCGCCTCACATCATCATCTCAGTCTCCTGTATTCTCTCAGTTTGCTGACACCCTTTCTGGCCTTGCCATTATTCGAGCTAGAAAGGACAAGGCCCAGGGATTTAGATTTGACCTTGCTGACAAGCTCCGTGTTTGGTCTGCGACGGCCGAGGCAAACTATAATTGCAACCGATGGGTCGGTGTTAGGATAGATTTTGTCACGTCACTTGTTTCACTCTTTGCTGGCATAATTGCCATTTCCAAGGCTGGCATTGTTAGCGCGGGTTTGGTTGGCTTCTCTCTAACCAATGCCAATGATCTCAGCAATACTGTTCTCTACATGGTCCGAGCTATGAACGACCTCGAAGTTGAGATGCAAAGCGTACGTTACAAGATCCAAAAGGCATCAGAATCGCTGCGCAGAAGCCTAGCTAACTGGAAGTGTAGTTCCACCGAGTAAAGGAATACGTGAAGCTGGAGCCCGAGGACAAAAATGACAAGCCTTATCCAGATGAAGGTGAAGGCCAGTATGCTGATGACGAGACTCACGTTATTCCCAAGAACTGGCCCCGGTCCGGGGAGGTTGAGTTTCGAAACGTGACAATCCGCTATGACCCTGATGGCCCTGACATTCTCAGCAATATCAACCTCAAGTTCAACGCCGGAGAACGGGTTGCCGTGGTAGGACGGACTGGATCTGGCAAGAGCACTGTTCGTTAAGGTCTCCAGAAACCGTTAATCAGAAGCATTCTGTGCTGACAGATGGCAGCTCGTACTATCACTACTTCGATTCACCGAGATTGTATCGGGTGAGATCTTATTCGATGGCGTGGACATCACAAAACTGCCTCGCACCCGTCTTCGTGAAAGTCTCACCATCATCCCCCAGGAAGCGGTCCTGTTCAATGGATCCGTAGAGTCCAATCTTGATCCAACCGGCCGAGTTCCACGAGAGCAGCTTGAAGCAGCTCTCGACAAATGCAAAGGCATCGCCTCCTTCTCCGGCAGTGTCACTGAAGAAGACGATAATGACGCCGATTCCGCCATCCGTGGGCACGCCCAGGCCATCACGCTGTCGACTGAGGTAGACGCCCGCGGAGAGAACTTCTCTCATGGCCAGCGCCAGGTCCTCTCCCTGTGCCGCGCCTTAATCCGCAAGAGCAAACTAATGCTCCTGGACGAAGCAACCGCCAGCATGGACTACGAGACCGATCGTGGAATCCAGCAAATCCTCCGTGAAGACCTCGAGGCAGCTGATTACAATCGCACCCTCGTCACTATTGCCCACCGTCTTCGAACCATCATTGACTACGACAAGGTGGTTGTCATGAGCGCCGGCAGAGTCCTAGAGTAAGCTTTTGATATTCCTTCACCATCACCAAGTTACGCCGTTGCTAACCTGCGTACCTTTTTTTCATCTAGATACGGCTCCCCCAAGGAACTCTACGACGCAAAAGGCCAATTTTATGACATGGTCTACCATAGTGGGGAAATGGAGGAGCTTGAAGGGCTTTTGGGGGAGAAATAAACCCGATACATGTGGGAATAGGGCATCACTTATACATGAATAGACTGGCATTCACGACGAAAGAAAGGCTTCCGGTTGGCGTTGATTCAAGCCGAGAAGCAATCCTGCATAATGGATCGGAGCGCATTGAGAAGCTGTCTCTATCAGCCTCATAATCAGTAAGGACTTTTTGCTCACAGTTGCAACTTTGAATAGATGTTGATACAAATTGATACCAATCGATTCTCTGTTTCAAAAAAAGTGCCCGTGTAATTGCTTCCCGTGCAGCTTGTAGAAATATATATTTAGCCACAGCCAAGTATAAGCCACCTTCCACATCCAAATACATGACAGTAAGCGTAACAGAGAACTGCACAATCTGGGTGATATCTGGGCTGATCCAATACTTCCTACGTACGGTAGACATGCTGCATCATGACGGTTGGGGCGAAGGCCCTAATGATGACCATTTCATTCCCGCAGAACTCCGTGCTATTGGGCTTCCGCAATTCCGGGGACCTTGTATAAAGAAGAGGATGTTAAAATATGAGTACCCCCGACCCACCAGTCTCCCAAACGCCATGACTTGATATTAACGACACCTCTCCGAAGCCTCACATGCACACATCCAGCCTCTGTTCATTTCCCGCACTCCTTCATACGTTTGCCAGCGTGTATTCTGTATTGGTAATGTGATTGCGCTCCAAGCACCGTCTTTGCACTAAATGACTGTCGTATGACGTTGTCTGACCCAAGGTATCCAACCATTCGCTTCTCCATGCTGGCGTATACAAATCGCTTGATTTACTGATTTATTGCCCGTTGAACTCTTGACTCTCCATAGCGGCGACACCAGCCTCCACGTTGTGGTAGTCAAGAATTTCAGAATACCTGCAACACGGGTTAGGCAACAATACTTGTAAGCAGAGTGAATAGCTACGTACATCATGATCTTCCACGTGTCAACGGGTAGATCTGCATCATTAAAGCTCCAATCGAACTTCTCTTCAGCTACCGGCTCGTCTGTTGGGTCATGGTACGGGGCAAGGTATTCGTGTGCAAGAGCTTCGGTAGCCGTAATCCGCTTCTTGGGGTCGAATACGAGCATTTTCTCGAGTAAATCGATTGCTATGGCACCGGATTAGGTATCCCGTATCAAAACGGCTCTCGTCATGGAAGCAACTCCTACCTGGGGCGTCGGCGTTCTTGAACTTGTTCTTCAAGGGTTGGCGTTCTCGCTTGGGTAAAGATTTGACGAATCTTAGCGTCTATATTAAAAAACATTAGTACCATTGTAGACAGTGTGGCCGGCAAAAGTTCAAGGCATAAAGCTCACATTTTCGCTAGCAATTGTGTTGATAACGTCGTCAGGAGGGGTGCCCAAGAGCTCGGTGATGATGGAGAACTGGTTGACGTGATCTTTGCCGGGGAATAGCGGTTTGCCCTCCAGCATCTCAGCAAAAATGCAGCCTGCACTCCAGATGTCTACTTCGACATCATATTTCTGCCACGTGAGCATGATTTCAGGAGCTCGGTAGTATCGCGTCGAGACGTATCCAGTCATTTGAGGGTCCTGGATTCGGGCAAGACCAAAGTCACAGATTTTCAAGTCGCAGTTTTCATTGACCAGAATGTTGCTAGGCTTCAAATCACGGTGTACGACGCCGGCCGAATGGACATATTTCAAGCCTCGCTGTGCGTAAGCTGTCAGTCTAGCTGTGGGAAACTCGACGACGCTTGGTTACATACCATGATTTGATACAAAAAGTACTGAATAAACTGCTTCTCTAGCGGTCGCGAGGTCAAAAGTCGATGTAGGTCTGTTCCGAGGAGTTCGGTGACAAAGTAGCTGCATAAAAGGTTAGTATGTCTATTAAAACAGCTCCTAAAGAATACGCATACATATCCTCTAATGGGGAAATAAAAATATCACTCAGAGAAATAACCTGGAGGTCAATAAGTTAGCATCAGGAAATACAAGGCTGGAAGCTATGGTATTCAGGACTGGCATACATTTTCGTGCTTGAGGTGCTTCAACAACTTCAACTCTCTGTACGTTCGCTTGGCGAGGACCGGGGTGCTGAATGGCTTCATAATCTTCTTGACAGCAACATTTTGATTTGTGAGTTGATCCCGGGCAGAGCTATTGGCGGCCATTGAGTCAGCTAAGTGTACATCATGGCTGCATGGCATAATCAGTGTGCGTACCAAACCAGACCGAATGCTCCCATGCCCACAGGCTGGAGGTCGGAGTATCTACGATACCAGTCAGTATACAGCAGATTGAACCGCCTTTGAAATACCGAACTGTTTTTGAGAGGCTTTCCCCTACCTGGACGTGATTTCGAAAGTCGTGCCGAAGATTTGGGCGCGTACGAATTCAGCCATTGCTGCGGTTAGAACACCTATTGTGTCTTGGACCTCGAAATGGCGGGGTGGTTATGAAAAGGAAAACAACGTCGCTCCGATGCCCGGAACACAAGTGGTAGGTTGTGACTATCCCCTGCGCCTGGATAATCGGCCGATCAATTTCAGCCGTGTGCGCGGTTTGTACGAAATGCTGTGTCCCCAGGTTTACCTGCGGCAGCCAGCAATTTGCTCGTGACTGGAGGAAATCTTGTCGCAGCGCAGATGGACGAGCGGGGCAAGCCAGACGGCGGGTTTGGCGAGGCCCTGGTGTCGGTCGCTGTATTGGCCGAACAAAAAGACTGGCAAGTTGTCAGTAATGACGATGTGACTGCGGTTCACTGATGCCGGTGCAGTCTCGGGGTGACACGGGTGAGGAAGATCAAATCGGGAAGAAAGTTGAGTCAAAGAGAGGGAAGCTTTGCGGTCTGGCTGGAAACGGAGGAAGAAACTCGTGTGTCTAAGTTGCAGGTGGGGGAAAGGTTCTCAGGCTCCAGTAGCATTTGAGGCGCCACCAACTTCCTACCAGCGATCAATGGCAATCCACAGGGACCCAGTATCAAATACATTTGTACCTATGTCATCGGCACAATGTCGATATCGGTGAGCATGTCCTAAGCCTGCCACAAGGGACAGACTTCCCGGTGCCTCTGTGGAGCGGCCAAATAGAGTTTCCTTCGATGTCAACTGGTCCTTCATGTGCCAATACAACAGCTTGTTTGGCTGTTTGCTCACCGTCCACTAAAACGGCTCACGGCTGCATTGCAACTCTCAGCAGCATGGGAATCAGCGCTCCAAGAATTCGCACCCAGCGGGCTGCCACGCAACAGCACTCCAGGGCATTCTATTTGTCTTTTTTCTGCCAAGTGTTGCGAGCCAACCGCACTCACAACATGCTGGGAGATACATAACTTGAGCTCCTTAATGGGTGAATTCTCTCGACTTGATTGATGCTTGCTACATGTAGACAAGCGGATGCAAGAGGGTGGGACGAGACGGAAGCGTTGACAGGCCAGTCCAAAGCTCCTGAGTGCCGGGGCGCCCCGGTGTTCGTTCGGGTTATTCCTGTCGGTGGGAGGGGGCAGGGAGTCTTATGGTATGACACGTTACGCACCTCTGAGAGTATAGATAGTAACTATGAGTGGTGTTATAGGATAACAATCAAACTGCGACCGTGTCAACCCGGCCGGCATCGACAGATGACGTTGTTTCAGCGCCGTCAGAGATGAACATACTGTTTGTAGATGGGAGTAGCCAAGCTCTGGCCACCAGCGTTGAAGATCCCGCGCTGTTTTCGCTGTTCTAGAACCTCAAGCTCTGGCGAGAACCGAGGGCGGCTCGACGGTTATTGCTGTCAGCCTTCAATGCTTCGCAATACAGAGAGAGAGCTGAAGACTAAACCGCGGATCCTCGAATCCCATGTGATAACGATTATCGACAGCGGTATTTAGGGGGAGAGGAAAGAAGGGAGTAAATAAGCAACTGATGAGAGGATGGTGCGAGGTAATGTCGTAATATTCGGACCCGTCTCGGTTGGGCTTTGCTCATGGGATCAAGCAAGAACAAGACTGCACAACACAAAAACAGAACCGGAACCAAGAACCAGGCAGGGGCCGGCTAGGATGCGGATAGGAATGAAGCAGCCGACCCGTTGTCTGTGAGTTGGGCTTTGACTTCAACCAGGGCGTATGGCATGGTAACCGTGTTAGTTATGGTCTTCGGAGGCATGTCCGCTCGAGCCAGGTCAATTGGTAAATAGGGAACATTAGGTCTTGCATTGGGGGGGGGGCGTGCCCGTTAGCTCGGCCAGAGTGAATGGCTGTGGTGAGGTTGGCCCTTTTCGAGTGGATCATCGATCGAGATCCCAGGCACTGGAGCTCGGCGATGCTGCACCACAAGCCCCAAACGCTGGGAGGAGAGCCACTTCAGAAGGTAAAGCTAGGCTGAAGGCTTGCCTCAACATCCACCGAGAAATGTCGCAAAGGATTGATCAAGAAGCAAGAAGGACAATGAGGGAAGTATCGAGGAAGCGAAAGTACCCGTGGTGAATAATAACGTGGGGATTCCGTGGGAGTGACGACCTACAGCAGCAAGAGCAGGTAACATGCCTACAGGTACCTTGTCCTCCAAGGGTCAACCAGACTTGGACGCAACAGCCAATTGCATGACTTTGGACCGGCGGCAAGTGCTGATACTCGCTCTTTCCTCATAGAATCGTGAATGCATCTATCTGCCGATTCATTTGGACATTCAGTTTCTCCCGTCGCTCAGATGCTAACAACACTCGACCCTTTCACCCAGATGTCGGGATATCCCACTCACACTCTCGGAGCAGTGTCTGGTGCACTCATGGGAAATCTCTAGCCGACAAATAACGTACAACAACAACAACTTGAGAACGTGAGCCACAGCAACATCCGAATCCACAAGTGCAAATATCG